GGTTTAGCATCTTTTCAATATCTAAAGAAAACATTGTGTATTGTGTGAACATTGTTGAAGCGAATGATCTACACATGGACTTTCTAATTAGAAACATCAATTACATATCTCAGATACTAGAAAACTGTGAGCAATGATGCTCCCAACCTCCCATACGAATATAATGACAGTGTCCATGTTTTGGGAAACCCAAGATATGAGTCGGATCAAAAAGTAAATTAAGGTGTGTACAATGGCAATATGTAATAAAACTTTTGTAAAAGTTTTCAGTGGTATGAGTGGAGTAGCGGATAAGTGATGGGTACCCCAAAGCGTAACTGACTGACGGACATCCCGATCGCTATATTACCTCCTGCTTTTCAAGCAGAGGATATAATACTACAGTGTAGTAAAAGTGTCCAAATAGAGCTAGCCCTGTAGTATACCTGTAAATAAATCAGGTTTTGATAATAGCGAACCTTTTTTTATGAGACTTAGAAGCCACTTGATGAGATATCCGGATATACCATTAGTTTGTGATTCAACAAGAGGTACTGTGAGCAATGCATATGAGCTCGAAAAGGAAATGATACCCCGCCACCCATATGAAAATGATGACAGTGTCCATATTGGAAACATATTTTCGGTTTTCCAAAGCAAACCTTTAATTCTGTCATTTTTTGACTATAATATTGAAGGGTATCCATCTCTTATCCGCAATTCCTCCTATACCACTGAATAAAATTTTGTTATGCTTTCACAGATTCTTTATTACATAATGCCATTGTGCACCTCCTATTTTATTGTTTGATCTGACACTTATTACGGGTCTCCATGAGCAAAACAGGGACTTTGTCATAAATACCATATGGGAGGCAAGGGTATCAGTTAGTGAGCTATTACTCACAGTACCTCTAGTAATACCCCCGCTTGAAAAAGCAGGAGGGTATATAGTAATCGGTATTTCTGTCCGTCCGTCCAGCTGACTGTACGTCTGTCTGTCCGTCTGTCTGTTACGATTTGGGGTACCCATCTCTTATATAGTAATTGGTATGTCAGTCCGTCCGTCTAGATGTCCGTCTGCCTGTTACGCGTTGGGGTACCCATCTGTTATACGCAACTCCTCATACCACTCTCTTACTACTGAATGAAATTTAATGAATCTTTCACAGAATCTTTATTACACATTGCCATTATGCACCTCCTATTTTACTTTTCGATCCGAAACATACATGTATTTTGGATTTCCCAATAGCAAAAAATGGACATTGCCATTTTATACATATGGAAGGCTGGGGATATCATTTAGTGACCTCATTGCTCACAGTTACTCTAGTTTTCTTTTAGTTACCAGGTTACATATCTCAAATATAAGTTTTACCAAAGGATAATGGTAAATGATATGTAGTAGTCACATTATTTAATCACATCCTTAATTGACATTTTTTATGCAATTTAAAAACTATATTTGAAATGCCCTTCTATATTCTTTTTAATAATTGACTTGTCGTGTATGTTACCCTCGATCGTATTATGACCAATAAATCTATTTTAATCCTATATACTAGTATTTTTAAATATTATATGAATAATAATAACATGTAGTGAGGTTTGTATATACATAATATGCAAAATATTTTTAGTTTTGGTTGAATAGTATTTGAAAAAATCTGACAGTTTCGCGTTTATTGGACAACCCTCGTATATTTCAAATTTTTTAATGACTATTTTTCGGCGCAAATTTGCATATACGTTATAAAAGCAAAAAATATATTTTACAAACACAAGGTGTTTCAACGAACATGTCCCAACTTTGCGGTTTCAATATAAAGTTTGACCGTATCAACGATTTTTTTAAAAGATTAAATCCACATAAGGAAATAATATTTCAATACATGTATATGAAAGTTAAAGTAATTCTGAATCAATTATTTTTTAAGTTTATGAAGTTTGAACATCAGCAGCAGTTTTCAATTTAACATTATTTTTATGTGTACTAAAAAGCCACAATATTTTCAGTCACAATCCTCATTTTGTCTCTGAGGTCCTTTATGACAAATTTTTGACATTTAAAGAAATGTTTCCTATAAAAAATGGTTTTCATATAAGTAGTTTTTTTTTCTCTAATTTTTAGGCACTAATGTTGATGATTTACGAGATTTTCTGTTTGTTTTGTTAAGTTTATAAAAATCCATGGATCAATTTCTGAATTAAAGAACAACTGAGCGCAAACTACTTTTTGAAAATGAAATAAAAACTTCAATGGAAAAATGTCATGAGTTTACTTTATATTGTTTATATCACAATGATATTGCAAGAAAATAGGCTCTAAAATACAGTTATAATTTTATAGATAATTTACTATTGTGCAAAAATATAGAAATAAAAAATCGGGACATGTTTGTTGAAAGACTCTGTATTTTATTTCTTCTTCACACTTTGCAGCAGTCTGTTAAAATCAGACTCTCTTCACGAAATCTGATATTAAAAAAATGTAACGCCAATGCTCAAACTCCCGGTTAAAACCATAGTAAGGTCGAAAATGATAATTTTTCTGTATATGATCAGTTAATTTGATTTTCTCTCTACGTGTGTATTTTGCGCAAGTTTTGAACTTTGATCAGAATCAGAAATACGGATAATATTAATAGATTAAATCTGAGAGCAACGACAATATGGATTTTGACGTCAATATAATCTTTTCTAGCACTGTGGAGAACTTTTTTCACACTATAAGAGCTGCTAAAACAAATTAATAAAAATGAAAAAAAATGTATATTAATTTTCTGGCAAAATTTTTAATGAGAATAAAAACAGGAGCCCAATACGACCATCTATTATTACGGACTTCACAACGTTCACCTTCGTTGCGTTAATCGGTAATACAAGATACTAATTAGTCCCCTGCTGGTGAAACCGAAGGAGACTATACATGTAGGTTTCCTCTACATTTGTCCATCCGTCTGTCTGTCCTATGTTTGTCTATCAGCCTCTCCTACATGGTTTTTCTCTCTGTTTTTCTGGCCAGAATAAAAATGTCTGAACAACCCTCATTTTATAGGTGATCAATGCATAAAACTTTAAACTGAATAAATACATTTCTCTGATTTTCCCTTGTACTTCTCCCAGCGCATGACCGTTATATTATTATTTTTATTTATCGCATATCTTTTTTCTGGTACGTCTCCGCAGGGACCTATATAATATATATTGGCGAATTTGGCTTGAACTTATAAATCTTTATTTATATATTTTTATTTATTTATTTATAAATTTATTTAACAAAATAACCCATTTAGTAAACTTTTTGTTCATCCTGAAAGTCCATATTATTGAATTCCATATACGACAGCTAACTGCTTACTGCTAACTACATGTACTTTCTGCTTACTGCCAACTGTCAGTTGCTTACTGTCAACTGTCAGCAGCTTACTGTAAGATGCTTACTGCCAACTGTCAGCTGCTTACTGTCAACTGCCACACATATTTGAATAAAATTTTTCCATATTCATATTTATACTGAAATATCCTACAAACCAAAATGGCAGTTCAGCAAAATTTTCGATGATCTCAATTGAGGGCCAGGAGGGCTGTTAAAACAATTCATTATTAGGCATGTTTTGTTGTGGGAACAGTACAAAAATATGTTAGGAACAAACGGTTATTAATATTTTTAGATGAAAGTCTTAAAAACATGGAGAAATAAATCGAGAAACAACGCACTTTTACGTGCGCAATAAATATACAGTTTTTTCAATGGCACTGCAGCTCTCCAGTCTGTTAATATATTTTTTTTCGGAGAGCTACAGCTCTGCAGCAATTTGAAAATCTGATGATATGTTCAGTCTGCTTTCTATTGATAAATTTTTTTACCCCCTTATTAAAGGAGTTGTACATAAGAGCAATTAACTTTTTGTCAATGGTTTTTAGAATACATGTAAGTACTAATGAATGTTTCTTTGCACTCAAACAAGTTTTTAAACAGCTAGATGGAAAAAGTGGACGGGAATCGAGAATTTTAAAATGTGCGTAGTTCTTACAATTATAAGAAAATGTAGAGGATTTAGGAATTTTTAAACTGAAATTAGGCTGAAAAAAAAATCACATTTTCAAATACTTACGAAAATGGATAAAATGACCAATATATTTATCTCTTTGTGTTATAACGTTTCACATGCACAGATCTACGGGGGCGGGGGGGGGGCACCCATGTATAATTTGTACAGTCATTTCATGTATAAACTAAGCCAACTAAACTGACCTTGGGACCCCCCCCCCCCCCCCACACACACACAAAATAAATAAATACGCGTTAAGTTAATGTGTATAAAAGTCATAGATATGAAGATATAAAGCATAACTCCCACCCCAAGACAAAAAATAATTTTTCACGTCTAGCTAGGATAGGAATTTACCGGTAATTTTTCTTGTCAAGAATTCTGAGTTGGATTAAGTTTTACTGGGGTGGATCCCTCTTGGAAAAAAATCCTGGATCCACGGATGGTTTTTTTTTTTTTTTTTTTTGGACAATTCTAAATATTAACGTAAGTATGAAAATTTAATTATTCAAACATGTGTGGCATTTAGCAGCAATTTAAGCAGCTGATAGTTTGCAGTAAGCTGCAGGCGCGGATCCAGGAATTGAAGTTAGAGGGGGCGCCAAAAGTAGGCAAGGGGTCTCAAAAATAAAAAAGATAATCAATGGGCCCTATATCCTGTTCATGTAATAAAATTAAGATAATTATTACATTAAATTTTTTCATCGTATTTTACGATACTACATACATGTACATATATGACATGTAGATGTATATATAGAGTATATATGTCCCTAATGAAGTCTAACAATTTTGTTGTTGTTGTTGCTGTTTTAAATCATTTGTAAACACTATAAAATTAATCGTGTACTTCTAACCCGCTCCATTAGCCATGCTAGCAAGTTATATGCATCGGGATCGGAATTTGAAAACAATGGCGAACATGATGAAGATGTTCATGTCAGACATGTGCAGCATTGTGCTTCTGCTTGGGCTATTCAATGTTGTCGTATAGGCCTATTGATGATGGATATTTGTGTTTTATGTTTCTATCGCTTGACAAAGGAATTCTAGTGTGTTCTAAATAAGCAGTTATTTGTGATGCCAGATATCGTCTCGGCTGATACATACATATACGTATAAAATCTGCCGTAGTACTTAGACCCTCACTGAGTGTGGCTTTTGTTCGTCAACTTGGGATGAACATGATGAAGGTAAGGAAGTTCAGATAATAAATAGCATCGCTGAATTTAAACAACTTTATATCAATTTCTGTCATTTTCTGATAAACAACTGAATGAGCTGGTCACTGGATATATTTGTGCTGAAATATTTGCTTTGTTGACCATGTTGACCTAAAAATGAAACCAGGGACGGTAGATCTATGGACTCTTTTAAGTCATGTGTTAAGATGGTTAAAGTTGAAAACTATGATGTTTTGATTGTGTCACAATAGGCTTTTTGCAAAAAGGCAACAGGAAGTGTTAGGAACAATGTGTTAAAAAATTAGTGCGTAGAGGCATTGCACGAACCTATTGCTCAACACACCAGGCACACTGTCACCCTTACACAAAACACTTTATTTGTTACACTAACACAAGTCAATTTAACAGGTTGGGAACACATCCCCTTTAGCGAGATAATCTAATTTAAATCGCAATTATCCCTCTCTAGCGGAAGAAAAACATTACCATAAACAGGTATTTTGTTGTTTTCAAAAATCTTGTGTGTATTGAAAATCCAGGAGAAAGCTGCATTAAAGCGTGAATTCACTACTGTACAAAAAACTGACAATATTGGCTAGAAATTTAAGACGATCACTGCTGCTTGTGAGAATAAGAGGCTGAAATCCACGTGTAAATTGTGGCTTTTTATTAGCGATGGTTTCAAGATTTACAGTCATATATGTTGTTGAAGCATATAAAATATGTATAAATAACGATCATATTCGTTAGGGTCTTAGCTGTCCATTCCTGTACAAAAGTTAAAAATGGAATGTTCTGCAGAAACTAGTGTTGTAAAATCGGACAAATTTTACTATCGATTATCAAATTGAATCGGAAGAACACAATCGATTATATAATCGATAATTTGAACTATTAGAAAAGGTTAAATTTATTCATTCAGCACGAGTAGAATTCCATGACATTTGACCGGGAACTTCAACTTATCTTCATTGGCATACGACTTTTTACACAATTTACAAATAACCATCTGTAAATTATTTTTGCATGGACGCCCATCGCCCTTTTTCCGAAAGCCAAAAAACTTCAAACTTTAGATCGTGTTGCACCAGGATATAGATATAATTTGGCGTCAACCTCTTCACCACGCACGTTCGCCATTTTGTTTACCGCCGATTAGAGTGACGTCCCTTTGGTGAATATAAAAGTTAAACCTGATCGGCTTGAAAAATACGGCATGAAAAATATAGCGATCTATCGATGATAATATTTACAATCGATTGTCGCCGATCTGGGCCTTTAAACGACGATTTTTCGATAGTCGGCGACTATCGTAACAACACTAGCAGAAACCTATGATATTTGCTTAATAATTTAATTTTACATGTAACATTTGATTGGATAAAAGATTTTATCCATTTTATGTAACATAATTTGCCTACGTCACAATGAGTTAGGCCAAAATAAAATTATAGTTTGTTTGGAATTGCCTCCCGCCTCACTGAAATACCCCCCTCCTGAAAAAATTTTATTGACCAAAAGTAAAAAGATTTTTTTTATTTAATCAATTTTTTTTTGCCCATTACATGTATCACATGCACCATACAAAACACTGAAATATAGTCTCAGATCTATGTAAAATTAGGTGTTTTGTTGATGGCAGATGCTTTTTTTTTAATTCAGAAAAAATGCTTTTTCTATTTACTGGGATTTTTATCAAAAATTTAAAATTTATCTTCAATTTAAAAAAAAAATAATTTCCCTCCCTCCCTCCTGTGTCTGAAACCCTTTAGGCGGCAATTCCAAACAAACATTTTTTTAAGGATGGCCTTACGTCAAACAAAGTATTACTCCGCTTGAAGTTACTTTTAAAATTTAATCAATTGATGTGAAGCCTTATTCTGGGTAGAAAATTACCTCACTGTCTCCACTGTATTTAACCGCTTCGCCGTTTATAAAGCGTAAAGTGTTAAGAAGTACGGGAGCGCAACAGAGTTGTAACATTTGTGGAAAAGTCATGATTAAACAAAAAAGTATAAATTGATTTAATAGAATAGCCCATGGCCACAGCGCTCACCTGAACACATCGGCTAGGAAAAAGCACATATCAGATCAGAACTGAAAGTTTACTGAGATGGGGGGTGGGGGCTTGAATTTTACCCCCCCCCCTCCCACAGGGGTTCATGATTTGAACAAACTAGAATCTACACTACCTGAGGATGAATCCATATAAATATCAATAATCATGGATTTGAAATACTTGAAAAGAAGATTGTATCCCTATATATCCCTAGGTAAAACTTGGGTAGGCCATTTTGGCCCCACCCTAGCCCTGGGGGTCATGATTTGAACAAACTTGAATCTACACTACCTGAGGATAATTCCACATGAGTTTCATCTTTCGTGGTCCAGTGGTTCTTGAGCAGAAGTTTTTTAAAGATTTTTCTATATATTCCTATAGATGTAAAACTTGGGTCGGCCATTTTGGCCCCACCCTAGCCCCGGGGATCATGATTTGAACAAACTTGAATCTTCACTACCTGAGGATAATTAGGTCTTTCCACCTTTCTGTGGAAAGACCTATTGATTTCCTTCTGTTTCTTTTTTTCCTTTTTCTTATTATTTTTTATTATTTTTCCGCCGTGTGATTTTGAGTTTCAAGATTTATCGTAAAGATTTTCAATTCATAAGAATGTACTCCGTAAAAGATTTTCGCAGTTGACCCTGCGTATATAAACTATGACCCCTTTCGGAGTTATTACCCCTTTCGCAAAAAAGCTTGTTATCGCTACTCCTCCGAAACCATTAACCGTAGAGAAATGAAACCTTCACTAATGTCTTCGACTAATTTAGTAGACACTTCATTGATTCATTGCGAAAGTATTCATTGACCCCTTCAATAAGTTATTGCCCCTGGAAGTTTTAGAATTTTACAAATAATTAAAAATTTTCAAAACAAGAAGATGTAGAGACATGGGACCAAATGCATAAGATTCATTGACCTTTGGTCTTGAAATTTATGGAAAGGTCAAAGGTCAAGGTCATTCCAAAACTGAGAAATTTAGCTCTTTTTATATCTCTTTTGTTTTTTTTCATATACTTAATGTCTATGCATCATTAATATGTACTTTTAAAACTGTTTCAAAGATTTTATTCTTGTCCCCTAACATGAACCCATTTAAAAGTTATTGCCCCTTGTACGAAAAACCTTGTTATCGCTACTCCTCCGAAACTGTAGACCGTAGAGACACCAAATCTTCACTAATGTCTTAAGGGTCTTTAGACCTAACTTCACTGTATAGGTGCATAAGAATCTGATGACCCCTTGTATGAGTTATTGCCCTTTAACTTCTTTATACTTACTATTAAACCTTGTATCTTGACAACTATAAATGGTAGAAGCATGGGGCCAACTGCATTGAGACCCATGACCTTTGACCTTGAATATTTTGTCAAGGTCAAAGTTCAAGGTCATTGCAAAAATGATAAATTAAGCTCTTTTTATATATCCTTTGTCTTTTAACATATGCAATCAGTCTTTGCATCATTAATATGTACACTTAAAACTATTTCAAAGATTTCATTCTTGTTCCCCAAGATAGACTCTATCAAAAGTTATTGCCCCTTATGCGAAAAACATTGTTATCACTACTACTTCAAAACTGTAGACCGTAGAGGCATGAAACCTTCACTTATGTCTTAAGGGTCTTCAGGCACACCTTCATTGTATAAGTACTAAAGGATCTAATGACCCCTTATATGAGTTATTGCCCTTTAACTTCTTTATACATACTATTAAACCTTATATCTTGAAAACTATAAATGGTAGAAGCATGGGATTAATTGCAATGTGTCCCTTGACCTTTGACCTTGAAAATTTTTTCAAGGTCAAAGGTCAAGGTCATTTCAAAAAAAAATTTTTTTTTTTACATTTTCATTTTTTTTTAAAGCCATTTCCCTTAAAATTAAATTTAGAGTGTAAAATATAAAACTATAAGAAATTTAAAAAGGTGGAAAGACCTCTTATTGTTCTATGAACAATAAGTCTCCTAGTTTTACATGAGTTTCATCTTTCCTGGCGCAGTGGTTCTTGAGAAGAAGATTTTTTAATAATGCCATTAATTTTTCTCTAATTCATAATTATCTCCTCTTGGAAAAGGGTGTGACCCTTCATTTGAACAAACTTGAATCCCTTTTACCCAAGGATACTTTGTAGCAAGTTTGGTTGAAATTGGCCCAGTGGTTCTTGAGAAGAAGATGAAAATGTAAAAAGTTTACGATGACGACGACAACGACTACGACAACGACAGACAATGTACAAATTTTGATCAGAAAAGCTCACTTAAGCCTTCGGCTCAGGTGAGCTAAAAAAGGTCTATATTGAGGCTAACCGATATATTGACTTAGTATAAATGTTGATACTGTAAATTCAGGAAAACATGATTCAACGGCGATGGAAAATTGGAAAAAAAAGGGGTGGGGCTAAATCAAGGAGAAAAAATTCAACCTGAAAAAAACTTGACAAAAAAAGAGGAGAATTTGACCATTGTCCAAACCTGCAAATCCTGTTTCGTGCGGGTAGAGGGGGGGGGGATTAGTTTCAAATTTTTTTCAGTTACCACTTACCCTTCTTTTCATTAACACTGTATCATGCCTGTTGAAAGTGAAAAACATGTTACCTTGAATTACTTTTCATAACTATACAAAATTAGAGAAAACAAAAATGTGAAATGGTTGAAATTACTGCTTTTTACAAGTTGATTGGTATCATGTTATGTTAATGGTAAGGGATTCCCCATGTATCGAAACTAATCTTATTTTTGTTTGAGTATTTTGCGTACAGGTTCTTGTATAATATTGGCTTATTTACAATATTCTTGATCTACAAAATAAGAATATCCTATCTGATTTGCTTTGAAGTGTTTATAAACTTGAATATTTATTATTTATTTTTTTGGAATTTGTGTCAGTCCGCGAGAGAAAATAGTGCAAGGGGCATGCAGTCAAAAATTGTGATATGTCCTGCAAAC